GCCGGGGTGGCGGGGTTTTCTTCCTGCCTCTGTGATTCCTGCAGCTGGGGAGGACGGGAAGTTCCTTCTGGAGGCCTGCTGCCTCGCGTAGTGAGGGTGTAGGTCAGCAGGAGGTCAGGAACTCACCCACCCCACATGGTCCCTCCGAGCAAACCCACACTGGTTGCTCGCTTGCTCACGTGGTTCTAGATCCTCCCCGCCTCAACGTGGCCCAGGGCCTTTCTTGGAGGAGCAGGCGCTGCCACTTCATCTTGGGGCGTGCTGTTGAGGCCACCAAGCTGGGCAGGTGCCTGGGAGGGACCGTGGGCAGGTGCCTCGGCACTCCCCTTCTCCTGCCGGCCTCCACCGCCCTGAGCCTGGGCCAGTTCCCAAGTACTGCTTGGGTGTGGGGAGCCTGGAGCTATTGCTGTTTGTGTGGAAGCTCCTGCGCAGGTGCTAACGAGTTCCCCTGACAAGCACTCAGAGCGGCCATCCCTGCTCCACTGCCCTGCGCGCTCCCGTTTCTGCCCAGCCCCAGCACTGGGCTGGCGCGCTGACGCTGCCGGACTCTGCCCCAGGTCCACCTGCAGACGCAGCAGGAGGTGAAGATGCGGATGATGGGGATGGCGATGCGTGTGATCCGCACCGACGGCTTCCTGGCTCTCTACAATGGGCTCAGCGCCTCGCGCCGCGGGGGCCGAGGCGGCAGGCGCCCAGCGGGGCACAGCAGCTCATCCTCCCTCTCCTCCAGATGACATATTCCTTGACTCGCTTTGCCATCTACGAGACCGCGAGGGACCGCTTGGGCCAGGGCAGCCAGGGGCCTCCCCCCTTCTACCAGAAAGTGCTGCTGGGTGCGGTGGGAGGTGAGCGAGGGAGAGCCCCCCCTCAGCCCTGGGCTCCCTCAGGCTGGAGGAGCCCCCCGACCCCGGCTCTTCTTTGGCCGCAGGTTTCACCGGTGGGTTCGTGGGGACCCCGGCAGACATGGTGAACGTCAGGTCAGTTCTGCCCGTGTCCCGGTGCCACTGGTGAGGGACACTTGTGGCTGGCATATGGCAGCAGTTGGGATGGTGGGATGCTCCCCATGTTCCTGACTTCTCACCAGGCTGCCCGTGGTTGGGGCCCCGGTCCCGGCGGGGGGCT